AAAGTGAAACATGTTAGATTGATAAACATTTTATTATTTCTTTATTTATCCTATCATATATCTCATTCTCTGATGAAGCTTTAATAAAAAGTGAAACATGTTAGATTGATAAACATTTCCTATTTGTTCTTTATCCTATCCTATCATTCTCTGATGAAGCTTTCTCTGATGAAGATTTAATAAAAGTGAAACATGTTAGATTGATAAACATTTCCTATTTGTTCTTTTATCCTATCCTATCATATCTCATTCTCTGATGAAGCTTTAATAAAAGTGAAACATGTTAGATTGATAAACATTTCCTATTTGTTCTTTATCCTATCCTATCATATCTCATTCTCTGATGAAGCTTTAATAAAAGTGAAACATGTAAGATTGATAAACATTTCCTATTTGTTCTTTATCCTATCCTATCATATCTCATTCTCTGATGAAGCTTTAATAAAAGTGAAACATGTTAGATTGATAAACATTTCCTATTTGTTCTTTATCCTATCCTATCATATCTCATTCTCTGATGAAGCTTTAATAAAAAGTGAAACATGTTAGATTGATAAACATTTCCTATTTGTTCTTTATCCTATCCTATCATTATCTCATTCTCTGATGAAGCTTTAATAAAAGTGAAACATGTTAGATTGATAAACATTTCCTATTTGTTCTTTATCCTATCCTATCATATCTCATTCTCTGAAGCTTTAATAAAAGTGAAACATGTTAGATTGATAAACATTTCCTATTTGTTCTTTATCCTATTCTATCATATCTCATTCTCTGATGAAGCTTTTAATAAAAAGTGAAACATGTTAGATTGATAAACATTTCCTATTTGTTCTTTATCCTATCCTATCATATCTCATTCTCTGATGAAGCATTTTTAATAAAAGTGAAACATGTTAGATTGATAAACATTTCCTATTTGTTCTTTATCCTATTCTATCATATCTCATTCTCTGATGAAGCTTTAATAATAAAAGTGAAACATGTTAGATTGATAAACATTTCCTATTTGTTCTTTATCCTATCCTATCATATCTCATTCTCTGATGAAGCTTTAATAAAAGTGAAACATGTTAGATTGATAAACATTTCCTATTTGTTCTTTTATCCTATCCTATCATATCTTCAATTCTGTTGATTGAATTTGTTCTTTTTAATCATAATTCTCTGTTGAAGCTTTAATAAATGTGAGACATGTAAGTTTGTTAAACTTGTTCTGCTTGTCTCTTATCTTATTCTCTCGGTATGCTAATTATATTTGATCTCTATTTGATACCAACTTATCTATCTATCTATATATCTATCTATCTACTGCTGATGCAAAAGCTCCTTTATGAATTGAGCACTCTGAGTCACTGCTATGTTTATTCTAAAATAATCACGTAAAATTCACCTTTAGTGGAAAAATCTCCTACTGGTGGCAAATCGGTTGGTTTTCAACCCTGGCTTGGGGTAATCTGATGTCCGGCCACACTGACGCGCTGTGATACAGCGAAAAGCGAATGACCCCGAAAATAATAACTCAGGGGAAAATCTCTGACTGATGACAAATCGGTTGTGTTTCAATCCTGGCTTGAAGGAATCGGATAGCTAGCCACACTGATAAGCTTAATACAGCTGAACAGTCTGTCTGTGGATTATAAACACACACACACACACACACACACACACACACACACACACACACACACACATATATATATATATATATATATATATATATATATATATTGGCAATGTCGGATACTTAATAAGAAAAAAAAGATGGAAAAAAAAAAAGAAAAAAAGAATATAGGTAAATTTGGTTATATTGCAAAAATATATATTTTTTTAAATTCTTTAAATAATTTTTGAAACTCCCAGGATTTCACGTTTATGCGCATGTGCAGTAACACCAATGTCAACAAATCCAGTCCGAACGGATGAAACACGTGACAGATGAACTTTTTTGATTTTGTCTTACAATTTCCTTAATACATATTGTTGTGACCAACGAAATAACTAAACAATACAGATATATCATATATTAAACAGTAAGTACAACAAAAGAGTATTACACAATTAGGAAGTGTGTGTCGGTTGACCTGCGTTCAATCTATTCGACTGTTATATTTAACAGTCCCCGACAAGGAATGTATGTGTCACAAGGCCGAGTTTAACGTGGTTTTCTCCGAGCCCGTAGGCTCGGCCAAAAATATTCCCTTTGAACCCGCCTAGATGGGTTCAGGGCCTGTCTACCTCCCCGGACGAAACTTTTCCCTTCGGCAAAGCTTCGTCCGAGTTCCTCTCTGCCGAGGCAGAGAGTTTGACAGCTGAACAATCTATGCGACTGTTCCACCAAGGCCTTCTCTCCTACTAATCATATAGTAGGCGGGAAGAGCCCAGCATAGACTCTTTAGAGGGAGGACACCACAACACACACACACACACACACACACACACATATATATATATATATGTGTGTGTGTGTGTGTGTCTGCGTGTGTATATATGTATGTATGTATAAAAGTTTCATTAAATCGACTGACAAGGTACAGTTGCTAAGTTTTATCCTTTTATTTTTCTAGTGTTCTTACAGTTTTATTCTTTTCTGTATATAAATTATGTAGAAATTGTCCAAAGGTTTTGTATGTCCGTGCGCTATCCGTTATACTTTTATTCATTATCAAGGAGGACTTTATTTTTACTTTTAACTGAATGTAGGGGTTGTCTTATGTATGTATCTGGAGTTATAGGAATGTGTTATTTTCCAAACACGGTCAGTAAATTATGAACGTGTTCATAGTTGCTATTATCGTGTTTTGCCTGTTTTCTTTTTTTTTATCAATAACGGTTCAATTCTTTCTAAGCCTTCTTTTACATCTGAATGAAACTTTTATAAAAATGGAATATATATATATATATATATAATTACAAAAACAGACAAAATTAAGAGTCCATTGATTATAATTTATTTCCCCAGAAAGGTAGTTTTTTCCTGTTTCTTCAGATCACATTTCATATATATATATATATATATATATATATATATATATATATATATATATATATATATATATATATATAGAGAGAGAGAGAGAGAGAGAGAGAGAGAGAGAGAGAGAGAGATGCTTGGGAATGTGATTTGAAGAACGGGGAAAAACACCTTCCTGGGGAAATATAATATAATCAAATATTCGCTCTGGTTTGACATTGAGCTCTCTGGATTGCATCCTCCTTGGGATTATCCATACGGATTACCAAACTTTCCATTAACTACCTATATATATATATATATATATATATATATATATATATATATATATATATCAAATGAGGTCAACACCAAGTGGCGACATTCTGTTCCATGCTGGAGCGCATTCTTAAGATTGTGTTCAGGCATGAAACAGACATTGTCCTCTTGGTGTTGACGTCCGTGTCCACTTTTATAAGTACATATGATCGATCTCGGATATTGAGCCTTTAACTATAAATATAACATACCTTAAAACTACATTTTCATCACACACATACACACACACACACACACAATATATATATATATATATATATATATATATATATATATATATATATATATATATATACCGTACTTATGAACACTAATGTGTATGTCACAATCTTCATAAATACGTTGAAGACTATTGTAAGTGGGGGGAGTAATATATTGTCTAAGTAGACCAAAACTAGCAGTGGTTTACCTACTTCACGCCGCTGGTGAGTATTGTATTTTGTTATGTTATAAAGATTACCATTTCATTTCCAACCCCCGTTTTGTTTTTTCCTCATCCATTAAGCCTTCCTAGTTTACAGCAATATATATATGACTGCTTGAATAAATTAGAAACATTATGTATGCTTATTTTTATCATAATCCTTTCATATTCCTGAATATTTTTCAGTATATTACAATCTTAATATTGTATTGTAATATACGGAAAATATTCTTGAATATGGAAGGATTATGATACAAATAAGAAGACATAGTGCTTGTAATTTATTCAATCAGACACGAGAAAAAAAAAATTTGCTGGCTAAATACAGAAATTATATATATATATATATATATATATATATATATATATATATATATATATATAAATATATATATATATATATATATATATATATATATATAGAGAGATAGATAGATAGATAGATAGATAGATAGATAGATAGATAGATAGATGCTTGGGAATGTGATTTGAAGAACGAGGAAAAACACCTTCCTGGGGAAATATAATATAATCAATGGACCTTTAATGTTGTCTGTTTTGTTTGTTTAATTAAATTAATATTCGCTCTGGTTTGACATTGAGCTCTCTGGATTACATCCTCCTTGGGATTATCCATACGGATTACCAAACTTTCCATATATATATATATATATATATATATATATATATATATATATATATAGAGAGAGAGAGAGAGAGAGAGAGAGAGAGAGCGAGAAAGAAAGAAAGAAAGAAAGAAAGAAAGAAAGAGAGGGAGATAAAATCCGTGGGTATGTAATCCAAGTAGATCCTATTAATATAAATTATTAAAACTGATCCACAAAAGATAGCTCAATACAATTTTTATTATAGAGCATATAAGTGAATATTAATCAGTGAAACCCAAACAACTTGCCCCATACAGATGGCCATTGCGTCCTCGGGAAAAAAAAAATAATTCACTGGACTTTGTTAAAATAAATGAATTCCTACTTTTTTCAAAAGATATTTGATAAGTAAAAAAAAAAAAAAAAAAAATAAAATGTGGGACTTCATTTATTTTAACAAATATTTTTGGCATCGGAAAGCCCAGGGAATTTTTTTTTTACCGAGGACGAAATGGCCATCTGCATGAGATAATTTGTTTGGGTTTCATTGATCATATATATATATATATATATATATATATATATATATATATATATTACGTGTAAGTAAAATATAGTTTGAACTAAAAGTCTGTTGCAAAACGAAATACTTTTGATACATTCAAATTGTTTTAAAATGTTCACTTCAACCATTTCTTCTCCTCCAGTTATTAAAATTGATCTCTTCATTGTTTTTCTTTTCTTTGTTTTTTTAAATCCATCCTTCTCTTTCAGAGGTCACATCCGTCTTTTAAATTAGCCTAATTATTATTTTGTATAATCATTTAATTAATAAAATCGGAATGGCTCATCCTCCTTTGTTTTTCATCACACTCAGAAGCCGATTTCAACGGATTTGTTGCTTTTGTTTTGTTGGGAATTATTTTCTTTTCATATTTTTAAAAAAAAATTTCCCGTTGTTTTTAGCGATTATTTTTATGATTATTATTGTTGTTTTTCTCGTTGCACAGCGTGTATTGGTTTTCAATAATTTCCTCCATTTCCGTGATTTATATTAAAAATAATTTAAAAGTACATCTCAAAAGCCTTTCTTTCATAATGCTCTTTTATCTCGAGAGAAATGAGAATAACCTAAAAATTAATACATACTTTTAAGATAATCAGATCAAATTCAATGTCTCTGTGGTTTTAGGTATTAATAAAGTATTGGATAATCTATCTATCTATCTATCTATCTATCTATCTATCTATCTATCTATCTATCTATCGATCTATCTATCTATCTATCTATCTATCTAACCCAATCTCTGCATTATCTATCTATCTATCTATCTATCTATCTATCTATCCCAATCTCAGCATTATCTATCTATCTATCTATCTAACCTAATCTCTGCATTATCTATCTATCTATCTATCTATCTATCTATCTATCTATCTATCTCATCTATCTATCCTATCTCAGCATTATCTATCTATCTATCTATCTATCTCATTCAATCTCTGCATTTTCTATCTATCTATCTATCTATCTCTGCATTTTCTATCTATCTATCTATCTATATATCAATCTATCTATTATCTATCTATCTATCTATCTATCCCTATCTATTTATCTATCTATCTATCTATCTATCTATCTATCTATCTATCTATCTATCTATCTATCTCATTCTAGTAATAATATCTCTATCTCACTTTATCTGGTTATATCTTGTCAGTTGATTATTTATTAATATTCTTTCTAGACATCATATCTGTAATAGGTTCTGTTTATCCATCTCAATTCTATTCATATCTGTCTTAGATTCCAATATCTATCTAGCTACTACCCAGCCAGACAGCCAACAAGTTAGCTCACTGTATTCATATTTCTCTCCTACATCTCTTTCACTCTCAATTCAGCCATATCTATCATAGATTCCTTCAATGTTCACTTATATATATATATATATATATATATATATATATATATATATATATATATATATTGAGGAAATTACATGACAAAATGGAAAAAAAGTTTATCTGTCACGCGCCTCATCCTTTAGGACTGGATTTGTTGACGTTGGTGTTATTACGCAAACGCATGAACGGGAGACACTGGAAGTTTCAAAATTTTTTTATAGAAGTTAAAAAAAAAAACTTTTTTTTTTTAAATATAACTAAATTTATCTACATTTCTTTTTTTCTTTTTTCTTTCAATCATCTTTGTTATTAAATATCCTGCATTATGATAACAGAAAATCTGTCAAGAATGGTTAAATGTTCTTCACTGTTGTTGAATTATCGATAAAAACACGTTCTGAACATTTTCGTCTTAGTGAATTATTTTCTCTTTTGATTAGATTTGCGCTTTTTATCTCGAAATTTGGGTCAGTTTCGTTACGGTATCTTATTTGTATTTATATCGTATTTTGTTTAAACCTCTTAACGTTTCTGCAGTATATACTTTTATGTCAATCCCTTGTATTTTGGTGACTTTATTCCTTTGATTGGCAGGAAATGATTAAAAACTAATCGTTTCTAAATTCAGCAAACATATTGTAGACGTTACCAGTGTACAAACAAGACTTGCTGTTACCTGATTTTCAATGAATGTTGAAGATTTGTATTAAATCTAACAAAGGAATAAAATAATGGCCAAGTAGATAAATATTGTAACGAGTAAAAGAGGACTGGTAGAACTTGACACAAATGTGAGAATTAAGACATAAGCAAACAGTGAGTCATCGACTTACACCTTTGTGCAAATTCATTGAAATAAAACGAATAATTCCGTTATTATTTACTTTTTTTTCGTATCTTTCCAATAAAACATCACCCAGTACGTATGTTAGTACTTCGTATGTCCATTCCACAAAATTGTTCCTTACAGATTGACCACAGATTCTCGATTGGATTCAAATCAGGAGAGTTTCCGTTCCAATATATAGTACGTTGATTTTTATTGTGGGGACCTACCTACAAATGGACTCTTCTACATCTATATAATATGGCTACCAACTCTGAGTAGAGGAAGTCACCGAGTGAGAGTCACCGAGTAGAGACACCGAGTGAGTGAGTGAGTGAGTGAGTGAGTGAGTGAGTGAGGACACCAGTGAGAGAAAGTACTCTCCAGTCCACATTTACCTTTGTACTACGTTTCCGAGAATCTACTATAAAACCTTATAACCTTATTTCCGAGTCCGTGTTATCTTTCTATGGTTCTACACCATAGCAGTAAGGCTTATAAATACGTACTTGTGAGTGCATCTGTTCACGTAAATATGTGCACCCGACAATGACATTCTTGAGGAAACCTCCGAAAGAAGACCTTTCCGTTAATCTAGCATTGCGCTTAAATTCATAAAGTCTCTGTACCATAGAGGAAAAGTCATCAGTACAATTACCATGAACGTATATATAGAAGCCATAGGGGATGTTACGTTACGGCGGTGGGAAAGGGACTGAAACCGTGATGCCAGGTCAGGACCAATAATACTGCAGATTCTTAGTTTAACATTAAAGCGTTTAGATATATTTGTATTATTTACATTGTTCAGACTGTTGTCCCCACATTTATTGCCAATATTCACAACATTTCGGCCGTTGTTCTACCCGGCCTTTTTCATGTCATTGGAATTTAGAACTGAACCTTTTATTTTGTACCTAGATTATTCTAGCTCCACGTGCCATGCCTCTTCTTTTAATGTTTCCATTTTTTTTCAGCACTGCAGTAAAATTGGATCAAATCACTGGATCCAGCCAACGTTTTTATCCGCTGAGCCATGTGTCCTTGAGGACACTAAGCAAATGTCCGAAAAATGTAAATAATGCAAAAAATTACATTACTTAATCTCAGAAATATAGACAGCCGATGAGATCTATTTCCCAATCTAGTTTTTTTATGTGCCTTATCCCTTCAGGATGCAGGCCATCATGGCTCTCCCCTTCCCCCTATCCCTTGTAGCTCTCAACAAATTTTGTCCCTTTGTTACTTCCCCCAGACCATGTTCAGTCATCCACTTGCTTGAGCCCCCTATGTATGTCATGCATTACTTTCCCTTGTCTCTCTTTCCCTCTATTTGATCTGTGAGTATCAGATTCTCCAAGCCCTCTTTTCTCATGACGTGTCCCAGAAATTCCATCTGCCTCTCCCTGATGTTAATTATAAGCTTCCTTCTTGTTTGCATTCTCTCCAAAACCACATCGTTGCTCACATGCTCGGTCCATATCCTTAGTATTCTTCTGTAGAACCACATCTCCTTCACCTTGAGTCTATTCTTCATCTTTAAAAGGGGGCAGATGTCACGTAGCAGCTAAGTATTCTTTTCTTTGTTACCAAAGAGATCCTCCTGTCTCGTAATACTCTGCCCAGCTTTTGGAATACGTCTTTCCACGACGAAAGAGAACAACACGCAATCCACAGAAGTACCGATGGACCTGAAATTCTAAAATCCGAAGTAGAAGCTGCACTGGCCAAATTGAACAGAAACAAGGCAGCAGGGCCAGACGGAATTGTAATGGAAATACTGCCAGCCTTAGATAACTTTGGCATAGACAAGATCACAGAAATAATAAATGAAATATATAACTGTGGAGACATGCCAGAAGATCTCAACAGATCTATTTCCATAGCACTGACTAAGAAACCAGACGCAAACGTAATTGTATTCCAGCGAATAATCGGCCAAATAAGCCACGTATCGAAACTCATCATCCATATTCTGATGAACAAAGCGCTCAGCAGAATCAGACCAGAGATAGGACAAGAACAGTGCGGAGCACGCTTAACTTCCTGTGGTCAAGCTACCAAGGAGAAGAGCTCATTAGAATAACTGACATGAAAATATTTATAGAAATGACAGAGGGAAGCCATGAGTGAGTAAAGCGGAGATGACAGTTCAGGACCAATAACTTGTGTATACATTTTTCCCTCCCAGGTGTAGAGGTGTGGCACCGTCTTTCAAATTGTCCAAAATCATCACAGAAGAGTAAATTCATGAAATATCTATCCAAAGATTTCTAATCCAGGGAAAGATAACTCGGGGCGGATCTTTCAAGTCTTGGAAGGCAATAGCTACTCTATTAACTTGTGTGCTGTGGACAGAATATATGAAATGAAAGCTTAGAGAATGATAGCACTAATACTGATAGACCGCTGGTGTTTTTCGTTAATTTCATTTTTCTATATGGGGAAAGTGATATCTTGCGATCAGGAAAAAAGATCAGCAACCCCAGATTTTTGTGACATCGGCAATTAGATAACTTCAGGCTAATTGACCAAAGGAATAATATTAGGACCAGTCATGATTGGAAATGTTAATATGCAATCTGCCATCTGTGAAGTTGGCAAAAAAAGTCAATTATTTGCAGTAACAGTTTTATTTTATTTTTATAATTTGATTTCCTAGGATTTACTTTAAGTGTATATCAGAGTTCATCGATTTCACAAATTAAACGTTCCAGAACAGGTGATGTTTTTTGTTCATATCATTCTTCTTTATATAGCTTATAATGTTGGCATACCATCAAATTGAAAGAATTGCTATAATGAACATGACTTGTAGCAGCTGTATTTTTTATTCGATAAAGATTTGCCGACATTATTAATTTTGACTAATATATACTTTTACGTTTCAGTTTTCAACATGATTTTCTTCTTATTTCTAATCTTTTAGCAAGAATTTTACGAGTTTTTTTTCTTCTGATTTTTCACCAATAATTTGCTGATATTTCCCACCTGCAGTGGCTATTTTTTAAGATTCTAAATTTTCTCATTTTTTAAACAAAACTTGTTACTTCCGATCTTGAATTGTCCATTTTCTAAGCTTCTGATTTTTTTTAGCTAGATTTTATCTGACTAATTGTAAAAGACAGAAAAAACGATTTAAGACACTTCTCGGATTTCCCTAATATTAGTCAAAACATAATATATTAATATAAAAGAATGACATATTTTTTATGTTCTTTTTTTAATTGCGCAAAGACATTAAAAATTCATACATTTCCATATCGAGAAATAAAACCCACTCCGTCACTCTCTTTATTTGGATAGCTATCTCCCTATTGATATCTTTTTCTTTCTTTCTTTCTTTCTTTCTTTCTGTGACTGTCTTTTATATTCACACGCTCTCCCGTACAGCGAAGCATTCACTGAAACACCCCTACCAAACGCCCAACGCCACAGGGCCTCCTCATTCGTAATTACGCAACAAAACGCTCAGGCAAAGGCGGAGTCGTCTATTGCCTGATTGGTCACGAGCCGCTTCCACGTGACAAGACGCGTAAATCGAAATCTTGCATTTATTTTGGGAAAGGATAAATTCTGTTCATTTCGTTTGTATTACAAAATATTTAATTTTTTTTTTTTTTTGTTATTTTTTTATTAAAATATCCACTGGGACTCCTCCTCTTCCTCCTTCTCCTTTTCTTCTTCTTCTTCTTCTTCTTATTATTATTATTATTATTGCTGTTCATCGTCATCTCCTTCATGGTACCCTTCGTCAGTTATTTGTGCATCTCGTATTATTATTATTATTATTGTAGGTTTTCTTGTTTTTGGTTTGTTTGCTTGTTTTGATGCTTCTTTTTTTTGCAATCATCTACAAGGTTTTTAACTGCGACCTAATGCAAAAGAAGTGTTTTCTCCGGGCATCTATTGCGCCGATTGCATTGACAGAGTTTTTTTTTTTTTTTTTTTTTTACTTTCTAAATATGCGAGCAGTACTCCAGAAGACAAACTATTTCATTTAACATATATCGTAGGATCTACTTAACATCTTACCACTATTTTTCTAAATCATTCCCAATTCTCCTATTATTATATTACTGGAATAATTTTTGTGTTTAAATGCCGCGTTCTTGCAACTTCTATTTCCAGATCTTTATATTTGGAGAGCTGATCAATTGATTTTGCTGGAATATTTTCGCAAGACAATATGATTATCTCCATTCGAAGTTTTTTAAGACAATATCTGGTTTATTAACTTGTATAGTGAGGGCAGTATATATTTGAAATGAGGACCCTGAGCAGTATAGCGTTAGAACTGTGAGGGCCCCGAATATTTGAAGTGTGGGCTCTGAAGAGAATAACGTTAGAACTTGTATAGTGAGGGTTCAGCATACAGTGTAACCCGGATATAAGAGAGTTGTCGGGACCGGAGAAGAAGTCTCTTATATCCGGGTTTCTCTTATATCCGAGTTTGGTCTATTTTATATACATTAACACAGGCTCTAATTTGGGACCAGAGAAAATCTCCCTTATATCCGGGTTTGGTCTATTATATATACATTAACACAGGCTCTAATTTGGGACCAGAGAAAATCTCTCTTATATCCGGGTCTCTTATATCCGGGTTACACTGTATTTGAAATGAGGGACAAGAACAGAATTTGAACTTGTATAGTGATAACTCAGCATATTTGAAGTGAGGACCAAGAGCAGAATAACGTTATCATCTAAACTATCAATAGGTTTTGCTCTTCCCATTTATCTATAAGGGGAGGGTTATAATGTTGGCATGCCTTCTAATGAAACTATTGCCATATTATGCTTATCTTTTAAACTCACTTGGCGCTAGGGTAGAGCAGTTCCATATTTGATGATCATTATAGAATCGACCTTTTGGTTTTATTCAGTTCCTTAAAATATGTGTCTGGTAAGATCTTTGTGAGCACATTTTGATCTTGAGCAGCTAGGATAAACGTTATTGTTCATGTAACCATCGATATAGGACCTCCTAGACAGAGGGGTAAAAGAAAACGAGAAAAAGGGACTATCTACTCCAAGAAGACAAAAAGTATGTTCATCAACATGAGAAATAAAACAAGATGTGCGTTACCAACATCAAAAAGTACAGAAGTTTAAAGAATCTGGTGAGTGTTTTAACATTTGATGGAAAATGGAACACCGAAATCCGGACATGTTTTGGACTAGCATATATTGAAGGTACGGTGGACTAAAAGATAATGCCTCGTTTTGAGAAATCGGAGGGCCGATTTCGAATTCCTGTCGAGTTTTTTTTTTTTTAGATATCCTGACACATTTCATACCATCGGTATTTACAATCGGGATTTACACAATCCCGATTGTAAATACCGATGGTATGAAATGTGTATCTTATCCTCTAGCTATTGGTAAATAGCAGGACAGATTGGGTTCTATGTTTCAACCAGTCGAGGAGAAGGACAACTCTGAATTCAAAACCGCATATAGCCAAGGTGAACCACCGACGATGCAGTTAGTGATTACAATGACTCTGTGATGCCAACGACAGTCGTCCTTGATATGATGATTGGGATATCGATAGATGCATTTCAAAAGTCAGGTAAATTACTGAGAAACAGAAAAAAAAACATTAGAAACAAAGAAAAGAGCTTTGGGTTGCTATGGGATATACCTCCTCTTATATGACAGTGAATGCTTGGAAATCTACCCACAAATGATGAGAAAACTAGAAGCAACAGAAATGTGGCTCCACAGAAGGATACTGAGAATTCTAAGAAAATAGCAACAAAAAGTATACTTACACTTAGAATCAAGAAGATTAAAGACGCCGGAGGTTGAGGGGCGTAGAAGAAGGATTGGAGGACCGCGACTCTTCTACCTGACCAAGTTGTGTGAACGGATAGGAAACGGAGAAAAAAAATCTGCTAAGAGCCACAAAAGATAGGAACGTTTGGAGAACATCGTTCGCCCATGTCCTGAAGGGAAGAACTATCGATGGGTCAGATATTTTCTGACATCAGGTTTTCCTTTGCTAACAGTTTTCACTCCACTAGAATTTCGGTTTGGTTATGTCCTTAATTGTTTATTTTTAGTCTTGTATCTTTTCTTGGTAATTCGGCTTTTTTTTTTTACATCTAGAACTAATATCATCTTTATTGAATATAGTTATTTCGTTAATTACTGCTGGGAAATAATCGTTAACATCCAATCATTTATTATTTGTGAATGTTTTTCATGCTTTATTATTATGATTTTTATCTTATTTGTGAGTTACTTTTCGAGCAATCCTTAACGTCTATATGTTCTAGGCGTGAACTGACATCTACTCTTGAATATGTTTTATATATAGTTCGAAGCATTCTGTTATATGTGTAGACCAGGGTTTGCCAAACTCCTCGATGCTGCGGAGTACTTAAGCAACTCAAAGTCTTTTCGCGTTGCTTCAAGAAATTAATCTTCTATATAAATAAATGGAAGTGTCGGTGCGTCAGTGTTTCACACTTTTTCGACCTTGCTCTTCGAGGCTGTATATATCATACCATTTTGGAAGCAGGCTAATTCTGTGAGCAAATTAAAAACGTCCCAGGCTGGAAATTTTGGATTCCCAATTTTTCATTAATGCGATTGTTTTCGGATTCCACCATCTTCGCTTCTACGGATAAAAAAAAATTAAAGGGAGACAACTCTCTAACTTTCAATAGCTCATGTTCAAATGAAAAAAAATAATGTTCTCAAATTACAGTGTTCCAAAATAAAATTGTCCGTGTTTTCAACTGTTCTCCCAGAGGTTGTAACCCAACATATCATGCCATTTTGGAATCAGGCTGACTCTGACAGCTGAGTGAATTAAAAACATCCCGGGCCGGATACGGACAATCGATCCTGAAAGTTTGGATTCCCAAGTTTTCATTACTGCTATTGTTTTCGGCTATTTTTTACGTGATTTTTTTGCGACGAATTTTTTGCACGACAACAATTTTTATATCTTGGAAATAAATTTGGGATTAATTGCAAAATCCAGCGAAAGTCAACCATGAAATAAAAATAATTGTTTGTACGGAAAGTAAGGACCTACCTTGATCAAATTGTCTTTAAATTAAATAGCAACAAAATTTTTTTCTCTATCTATCTATCTATCTATCTATCTATCTATCTATCTATCTATCTAAATCTGTTCATTTACCTATCAAGCTGACTCAGTTTGTTCCTGTCTATCTATCTATCTATCTATCTATCTATCTATCTATCTATCTTATTGAACTTTTAAAAGGTAAGCTTAAATATTAATGCAATAATTAAATGTAGCAATTTTGGCACTACCCCTAATCCGAAGGCCCAATGAAGAGTCCTTCACAAAAGGTAGCTAAAATACCTCCCGACAGGGTGGCTTTAAGCTAGTTAAAAATAAAAATAAACCCAAAAAGTATTTTTAACACTTACTATTTACATAAAATAAAGTCAAAATTAATGACTAAAGTGAGGCTGTTGCTTTTATGGGTAAAAGTTTTCAAAGTCGAGCATGATCAATATAACTTAGAGTTTGATATCGACATCTATATTTAACATATTTTTTATACTTATTTTTATGAGATATCTTTTTTAAATCATTCCACCCCAAGGAAGGAAATAAAGCCACTAGGACTCAAGCGATTACTGAGTGTGAAAGAATAAGAGAAAAAGTACAACATTATTGAGGAGAGGAAAAAGAACAAGAAAAGAACAGGAATTAAGAAGACAGGCGTTAACGACTGCGATTGCATTTACATTTTGGAAGTTCAGCGTGAACTGGAAAGCAAGGATATTTGCCAACCGCCCCACGCGGTCAGATGTGGCACAAGGCCGAATTTAATGTGGGGTATACGAGCCCGTAGGCTCGGGCAAAAATTCCCCGTAGACCCCGTAAAAAAACGGGGTCGGGTTGCTGTCTACCACCCCAGACGAGACTCTGCCCTTCGGCATAGACTCGTCTGGGTTTCTTCTCTACTCGAAGACAGAGTGTTCGGCTTGCACTGCTGGAGACGAATCCCCAACTAATTGCCGAAGCAAGCCACTGGAAAGCAAAAAAAACGGAAGATAGTGAAGAAGTGAAGAAAATGTTCTCATAGAACTTGCGGTAACATCTAGCCATTTCGATTGTAAAATGATGAGACCGTGCTGCCATTCTAGTACTGTCCTTATGTTCATAATGTCAACGTATAAATGCTCATCAGAAAAATTATCACATAAAATCTCAATATCTGTCTATATTTCTGAGATGAGGTATTATGTACATTATTTACATTATTCAGACTATTGTCCTCAACTTTGTAGGCAATATGAGCACTGGTAAAATATGGTTGTTGAAGACATTAGATCTATAATACCCAGAAATTTTATGTTTATAATACACAGATGTCCTCAAGGACACATGGCACAGTGGATAAAGGTGTTAGTTAGATCCAGAGACAGGACCCAAAGAGTGCAAGTTTAATACCCGGTTAAGGCAGTGGAGAAATTTCAGAGGGAAATTAACAGGAGACAACTGATAACTGACATCCATTAAACATGGCACGTGGAACTCAGAGAGTGAAATAAAGGATTCAGTTCTACATTCCAACCACCTGTAGAAGGGCGGAGAGTACAACGGCTGAAACGTTGTAATAAATATGGCGACAAAGATGAGGATAATAGTCCGAATAATGTAAATAATGTACATAAAATCTCATAAAGAACAATTTTTTTTTGCATAAAAACATACGGCGAAGCTACGTTACTGCGGCAGGATGAAGCCGAGATGCCAGATCAGAACCGATAACATTGCAGACTCTTTTTTGGATTTTATCTAGAATCTTCATCGTAGAAGCATCTGGCCAGATTTAACCGCAATAGTCAATGCCTAGAGGAATGATAGAATTATAAAATTTATTTCAATTGGAACTATCATGAGAAGACTACTTTCATTGTTTAAGGAGAAAAAGGCCAAAATAATTATCACTGTCCATTTTTTATAGCAAGGGGCAGGAAAGTAGCTAAGACTAAAGCATTATATGTTCTCTCAATGTTGCCTATAATGAAAATGTCGTTTCCCAATGATACATAGCAAGCATCTCTAAAAGAAATTGGCCTGAAAATTTGCTCTTCTACATAGAATCTAAAATGAAAGCAATCATGATGCAAAAAAATATTACATATATGGAACAAGAATATCATAGGACTCTTTCAGCTCAAAAGAAAAGATACCTATAGTAGATAAAACGTTAGGTCAACACTGGCCATTATGAAGAGAAACAAAGTAATAAGAACAAATGAAAATTTAATATGCCGACAGCCTTTGGCGATTTTGTGAAAGATAAATTAAAATATAAGACAAAGGTGAAATACCAGAGGACCTCATTAGATTGATCAATAGCAAAAACCCTGGTATAAATTAATGCAAACTTCGTCGGCCAATCAGGTTTCTAGGCCGAAACTAATTATTAAGATTCTAATGAACAGTCCACATAAAAAAATCGACCAGAAATAGAGGAAGAACAGTATGGTTTTGTTGAAGATAAAGGAACAAGACATGACAGTTTTATGATCAGACAATTATAAGAGTGAATAAAAAAGAACCAACATATATGTTTAGTATATTTTTATATATTTCTTTGTTGCTTTGTTTATTCGCTTTGCGTTCTTAGTTCGTTTTTTCTTTCTTTTTTTTTCTTTCAGTTATTAATTTTGCTTGCTCTTTTTCTTTTTTTATGTCTTTATTTCATTTGCACTCTTTCTTTTCATTAAGGCATTATTTCTTTCTTTCTTTATTTCTTTTATCTTCAGCGTATCTTTCTTATTTTGCTCTCTCTATTTGTTTTTATCCCATTAATAATTTGTTTCTCTTTCTTTCTTTCTTTCTTTCTTTCTTTCTTTTCTATTGTTTCTTCCATTACATTTTATTTCTCTGTTTCTTCTTTATTTTATTTTCTTTCTTTCTTTCTTTCTTTCTTTGTTTACTCCATTACTTTTCTATTTATTTCTTTCATGTTTGTCGCATCCGTGAATTTTCAAGATGCTAAAACAGAAGTCCCTCAAACAATTTCAATGCGTCAAAGGCCAAAACAAAAAACAAAACAAAAAAAAAACAAAAAAACAAAAAAACAAAAAACAAAACATTAACTTAAATGATAAAATCCACAAGGACGATTTTACATGTCTGAATTATTCAAAGAATAATGACAATAATTCATATCAGAATTTTTATCAAATCCATCCCATAATCAAATAAATAATCAAATCCATCCCATAATCAAATAAATAATCAAGTGCTGAAGTATACCAATTCGAAAAGTAGCATTCATTTTGTCTTCAATGTTTTGACGAAAGTATAAAGATTTACTCTATGTGAACGGCGACATTTACAGAACGATTTAAATAGTTAAGAAATTACGTCATAGACACAGCTGTGGTTAACACGTTGATTTTTTTCTTATCTCGATTTCACTAGCCTTCCACATGACCATCCGATGACCAACAGAAATACAAACATAATAACAGTCTACTCAAACAAGAGCATACATCTTCAGCACAGGGAGAGCCCAGTGGAAATTGAACCCACAACGCTTAGATTGGTTTGGTTTGGTTTGTTTTGTTTTACGGCAAATCAACCTCAATGGGTCATTTAATGCCGACAACATTTTTTCCTGGTAATATTTTTTTTTGTCAAAAATCCATTTCTGTTAATATTTTTTTTCACAAAAATGTGTAGCTGGTAATATTATTTTTTTTAAAAAAACGTACAAGTGGCAACATTATTTTTTCAAAAACGTATTATCAGAGGCCTTGCTGTTGGATGTAGTTTATCGTCATACCCAGGACGCAGATGTAGTTTATCGTCATACCCAGAAGGCGGATGTAGTTTATCATCATACCCAGGACGTGGATGTATTTTATCGTCATACCCAGGACGCGTATGTAGTTTATCATCATACCCAGGACGCGTATATAGTTTGTCGTCATACCCAGGACGCACGACGCTTAGAATTATTGTTTTATCATAAGTACTTTCTGTAGAAAATGTGCAATTTTGAATAAATAAGAGAAATATCATTATAATTTGATAAGGAAAGAAACAGATTTAAATGCAGAAAAAATAAACCAGACAGACATGAAAGGTAAATGATCAAATAAATAAAATTAAATCACTTCGGCGGACAAAAAAAGAAAAAAAGAAAAGGCAGTTTCCTAAATATTTCATTAGAAATTCCACCTACTCCAGCGATTTCGTTTTTTTATTTAGCTAAAATATTGAAAAATTGATAATTATTAATTAAATTTTGCTCCAAAATTGGAAAAAAAAACACATTCGCAAGTCAGAAAATATGAAAAACCTGGTGGCCAAATTAATTATTCAAATACAGAAAGTCAATTATTTAAATAAAAATGGCGTGAAATATTAAAATTATTCTTTTTTTCTTTGGAGTCCAGTCGTTTGAATTAAGAATCTACTAAAGGCAATAATTGTAAAAGAAAAAGAAAATTAAAAATTGAACATCATAAACCGAAGAAAAGCCTTTTGTTTTCCCGGAAGGAAAACAAATAAACAGACAAATATTTCGACTGGATTTCGTTCTGGAGGAGGAAGAGGAAAGTGTATTATTTTAGTGAAATTTGATTTGAAAGTTTATTTGTTAACTACTTATATTTCCCGGGATTTGTTTGAAAGAGAAAGACGCCATTGGCTGCGTTCGAATAGAAGCGTCGAAAAAAAAACAACAAAAATAACTCACTCATAAATTTGTTTGTTCAACGGCACATCAACTCATTATGAGTCATTATATGCTGAAATTTAATTTTCTTGGGAGCTTTGAAGTAATAAAAATATAATATATCTTATTCTGCTTTCACAATTGAATACATGGCAGATGATACTCAGCTTTTGGCGGATATGTATATTTGTGTTGGCATAATTACTGGACACGGTAATATGTGTGTTTTATGCTGTAATTTTGTTATATTTTGGAATACAGTTTGATTTCTTTAAGAAATTCTAGGATATTGTATGGATTAACGCCATGAAAGAGTTTCTTCATTCTCATTGATTTTGTTTAGCGGCATATCAACACCACTATGGGTTTTTTAATACCGAAATCAAAATATTTTGAACACTATTATATGACTTCAAGTATATATCTTTTAAAGGAATTTTACTTGCCTTCAGCTATAGATAAAATGTATTGTTGCTAAGTCTACAATAAAATGTATTGTTGGTAAGTTTACATTAAAATATATTGTTGGTCATTTCACTATAAATATGCATTTTTGGTAATTTTACTACAAGAATGTATTTTTATACTTTCATAGTGTTTTGTTCTTTTGTTTTTAGTCTTACTGAGATGTTTTATTTTCCGTGTTCGTAGTTAATATTATTAAGTGCTGGCTTTTATTATTAAGGCTTCCTTTATTTTTAATCATTTTTTTTTTTTACATGTGGATGAGGTTACTTGTATTTTCTACTAGTAGGTTTCGGATGAAGTCTGGTATGTTTGTGTGTATGTATTTAAATAGATTCTAATAGATCTGTGGTCAGATGGGTGTAACGTAAGACGTCTGGGTAGATAATGTTCGTTGTAATTTTGACTTTGGCTGGTGTGTTGTTATTTTTGAGGATAATGTTAGCTGTTTTAAATATTTTGTAGCATGAGTTCAAATTCCCTTTAAGGAAATGTGTTCCTGATCAAACCGAATTCATAAATAATTACATCGGTCACACGACTACATGCCTATCCAGACGTTTTATGTTACACCTATGCGACCACAGTTCTATTAGAAACCATTTAAACACACACATAAACTTACCAGACTCCAATTTTCTTTTGATATTTTTTGTATAGTTGTGTACGTTGGCTTGGAAGAGTAGTGTTTCGGTTAGCAAATTACACTTATAAGATACGCGTGAGTAACGAGAAAAAGAGGATTTACTTTGCACAACAGATCTTTCTTGTCAATGCTCTTAATTTATTAATCAACGACATCAAATAATATGAAGTGAAAATTTCAAAATGAAATTCATTATTAACTATGAGTAAGGCTACAAAGTTATTCATACAGCCATATATATATAACCGTTTAAATGTGTCAATATCTGCTAACTCACACATGTTTTTTTTCTCTCTCTCTCTCTCTCCCCTCCCTCACTTCCTCACTTCGTTAATTTACATATGTTTAATACGGCCCGTCAAAAATGTGTAAATTTTCCTTTCATTTTTGTTTGGAAGTAAAGTCTGATTATCCGCAGTCCTTTTAAAAGGGTTGTGGTGAAATAATTAATTACATGGAACCTTAAAGTGGTCTGTTTTTATTTAAATTATTTGCTCTGGATTTACATTGAGCTCTCTGGATTATATCCTCTTTAGGTTTACCCATACTGATTACCTAGTTTTTCATAAATTATATATATATATATATATATATATATATATATATATATAAAGTTCCCTTCCCTTCATTTCAAAGTGCTCAACCTACGAGAGGGGCGTATATAGTAATCCACAGACAGGCTGATAAACAGTATCACAGCTCATCAGTGTGAGTAACCAAGCGGTATCTTCAAACCAGGATCGAAAACCGACCAATCTGACATCATTATCTATTCACCATCAGCTCACGCAGCGGAGAAAGGGAATTTATACGAGATATAAGCATTTCCGGCTACCAGAGTACTCAATCATCTGGCAGCCAGTAATGCTTATATATGATAAAAATAAAGTTTTAACGTATGATATATTTATGAGTAAAAATTGGAGAGGGGAGAGAGTGAGAGGGAAAGAGAGAGTAAGAGAGAAAGAGATAAAGAGAGAGGGAGGTGACAACGGCTGACCAATCATATATAAATGGACTCACGAAAATACAACACACATGGAGTACAGATTGCGTTAAAACATGAAACAGACTGCTGTGACTTTGTGTTGAACCCTAACGTATATATATATATATATATATATATATATATATATATATATATATATATATATATATTACATGAATCATTTATACAAAAAAAAAGAAATTCTCAATTAACATAATAGTAAACACAAACGCACTCTCTTTTAAATTTTCAAAGAATTCAACCTTAGCGTTGCGGTCGCACGCTCCAGAATTGCTCACAGTTAATAATAACACATTTCTAAAAAAAACATTTTTCGATTCCTATCTAATCTTTCGTGTCCCGTTATTACCTGGATAAATTAAAAAAAAAACAAAACAAAAAAACAATGATGTCTGTATGAACAGATGAAAATACTAGCAAAAAAAGACCTTATATAAGTTGAATTTATTAAAAACAGGGATCACAACATTCATCTAGATGTCCGTGGGTTAATGCAATTTTAATAAATTTGTTTGCGAAGATGTATTCTCGCCATTTATATCATTAACTTTACTAATCTGCTTTTTGTATGAATGGTTCATGTAATATAAATTGAAATGCACCACCTATTTGATATATATATATATATATATATATATATATATATATATATATATAGAGAGAGAGAGAGAGAGAGAGAGAGAGAGAGAGAGAGAGAGTGATTGAAAATAAAATCATTATTTCATGTATGATGGCCTCTCCCTTCTAACAATAATTTTTATAAGACCCAAGAGTCCATCAAAGATAATATAGGGAGTTACTTTGCCATCACCCTGTAGATATACACGGTGCGATGGATAAATTGTCGTCATTTTATATTTTAATTAATGCGCGTTTTTTATTTTATCGACTGCACAGTAAAAGGTGGGTTACATCTGTGAGAAAATGTGTAACATGACGAAATTCCCTCCGCCATGTTTTACTATTTAGCACTCATGCCGGAATCTCCATTACGAACATTTCAGAGTGTTTGGGTGTCAGTCCGAGAACAGTGCCGAGGTTTCAGAAAGTGTTGGATGAGTCTAATGGTGATTACGAAGATATGGCAACTCGGAAAATTCACTCTGGTCGTTCTGATGAGAAATTTGATGGTGAGGGACTCAAGCTCAACACAGAGGCATACATCAAGTGCCTTGATGAGGTAGTGCTCCC